AAAACATCAAGTCTCAGAGTGCACTGGAAAAAGAGAAGTAGATGGCATGCGTCTTCATATGGAAAATGATGAACTGACGCAGCAAGTATAGGGTCAATGGCAATAATAATATAATAATATTGGAAAAAACAAGATATAGAAAGACATTTCTACTGTTTTAGATTTTGTTCAGTTGCTCTAAGTTCATAAAAGCGGTAGTGTAAGAAATTACATTATAACAATCACGAGAACCAGAAAGTGCATTTTTTTAATGTTGCCTAAATCCCGCCTAAGCTGAGGTAAAGTAGATTCCAAATCACAACAATAACCTTTAAACACACCACAAACAATCAGGTTTAATTTGTTATGCGATATGTGAATGTAAATACTTTCAAACGCATTACCAGTTAACATAAGAGACGAATGAATATAAGTTTTCACAGCGGCTAGCACACTGGCAGTCCTAACTTTATTGCTAGTATTAACTCTCCGATCAGCACGGAAAATATTATAATCCCTTAAAATAATTCCTCATCAGCAGTATTACTGCAGAGCCAAGTTTCCGATATAATGCTCACATCATATACACCAGAATTAACACTTGACTAAAAATCATTTAACTTTGTCCTAATACCGCCTACATTCTGATAAAAAAAGTTCGCCTTTGGCTCGTTCCGGAAACTCTCGTCCTCGTGCAATGACCAACTTTCTCACTCGTTGAACAATATACTATTTTGAGGAATTAGTTTCCGAATTAAACTTTTTTAGTGATGTAAAGTATCTTATTCTTATGCTTTAAAATTATATTCGTTTCATCCCGAGAAACCATATGGGCTGATATGCATAAAAATAAGTATTTACTAAAAGTAAAAACTTTTAGTTAAATATTACTCAACCAGCGTCACACCCTCTTCGTCTTGGTAAATTCATAGCTTCAGCTACCTATCGGAGTCGTCCTCTTCGTGTACGGTTGAACTCAGTCAATGATGTCGTTACGGTGTTGAAAAAATTCAAAAATCTTCAAGGTTTAGATAAATGGAATAATATTCGTGTATCCAGGGATCGCACTCCAATGCAAATAAACTTGTATAAATCTGTGAAAGAGGAATTGGGTCGTCGTTTATCTTTGGGTGAAAATAATCTAAAAATAATTTATCGCAATGGAATTCCCACTATTACCTTAATACTCAGGAAAACTAATACAGTCCAACAGGTCTAGACCTTCCTTCACCTTATATTATCAAAATGTTCATAGTTTAGTTTCCAAATCACATAATTGTTACGTCAGTTCCTGTGACTTGTCTTATGATATCATTGCGTTAAGTGAAACATGGTTGAATAATGATTCTGTTTATAATACTGAGTTGTTTCCATTCCACTATCATGTTGTACGATGTGACAGAAAGTTTTCCACTGTAGGTCGCACCAGGGGTGGTGGAGTTCTTGCTGCTTTCTCTGAACTTATCAATGCTGATGCTGTTGACATTACGGTTTTAACCAACATGGTTCCACTGACTGATATAATTATTTGCAGATGTTCTGTTGGTAACCTTAAATTCTTACTTATTGTTATCTACATACCTCCAGACATATGGTCTCATGACTTTGAATTGTTTTTTAATGCGCTAGAAACGTTCATACTAAACGATGAAATCATACTCGTAGGTGACTTTAATGTGCCCCATTTTATACAGGAGGGCTTTAACTGCCCTAAAACCTACACTCTAAAACAATTTTGTGGTACTGGTCAACTTGTACAGAGTAGTTCAATTCTTAATTGTAATGGAAACATGTTGGATTTAATTTTTTCAGACCTTAACATTGACATCTCAGTTAAACACTCTGATCCGCCTCTCCTACATGAAGATCCTCATCATCCGGGACTACACATGACTTTACAATTTCCTCTTCGCCTACATACCGATCAGTTTCCTTCTGCAGCAAACTCTTGTTACAACTGGAGGAAAGTTGACCTTTTTAAGCTCTATAATGATCTTCATAACATCAATTCGTCAGTTCTTAAACAAGCCGTTGATGTAAACGTAGCGGTGGACACCTTTTATTCTAAGTTCTATATGACCATGGATTTGCCTGTTCCTAAGTATCGGCCTGCTTCTTCGAAATTTCCTCCTTGGATATCTCCAAAGATTAGACGTGATATTAGAACTAAAGACTTTCTAAGACGTAAATGGAAGGAAACAAATAACCCAGAATACTATAACGAATTTAGAAGGCTCAGAGCAAGAATTAAAATTCAAATTTCCAATGGTTATCGATCTTACGTAAGTCGTGTAGAACAAAACGTCAAATCAGACCCATCACAGTTATGGAGTTTTCTGCATCTCAAACAGGGCACGTCCAGAATTCCTACCCAACTAATAGACAATGCATTAATAACAATAATTTCACGGAACCTCAAGCAATAGTCAATGCATTTGCTACGACATTTTCAAAAGTTTACACTAGTGATAATGCCCCATCTATGGATTCTACTGATTGTACTCGCTCATTTACCATTAATTCTGTTAGTGAACAAGATCTCATTATCATTATGTCTAAATTTTCTACCAAACTTACTGCAGGTGATGATCTGATTCCCAGTTTTTTAGTACACGACTGCAAATATGCATTTTCTGAACCTCTCACCATAATAATTAATTTAGCACTACGAAGTAATACCTTCCCCGATCGATGGAAACGCGCAAGAATTAGTCCGATTCATAAAAGGCAAATCATCAGCTCTTGATAATTACCGTCCTATCCCAATATTATCCAATTTTGCTAAAGTTTTTGAACAGGTGCTATATGGCCGCATTTATGAAAACGTCCGTTCTTACATCTCACCTAATCAACATGACTTCATGTCTGGAAGATTAACTATTACTAACTTGGCAGTTTTAACTCAAGAATTATGTGTTACCATTGATAATTGTTCTCAAATGGACGTAATCTACACCGACTTCTCTCGTGCTACCACATAATACACTACTTTACAAACTTAGCAATTTTGGTTTGTCCTGTTCACTCCTTGAACTAATTCGTTCTTACCTGTACAATTGGCGCAATTATGTTTTTTATAACGGTTTCAAATCTTTCGAGTTTGTGTCAACATCTGGTGTGCCGCAGGGCTCTAACTTGGGACCTCTATTCTTCAATTTATTTATCAATGATTTACTACAATCCTTGACTTGTCGTTTGCTGGCTTATGCTGATGATCTTAAAATATTTTCAGGAATATCTTCCAATGAAGACACAGAACTTCTACAGGATAACCTATGCACTATTGCGGAATGGTGTTCTTCTAATGGCCTTAGCCTAAACATAAAAAAGTGTTCCTTTGTTTCGTACGCTCGAAAATCAAAACCTGTCTTATCAACATATTTCATCAATGGACACATGTTAGAAAAGCTGGATTCCATAAAAGATCTTGGGATAACGTTTGACAGTCATTTGACATTTGATCTGCACCTTGAAGAAATGTGTCACTCAGTTATTAAGTCGCTTGGTTTTATTATGAGAATATCCAAATTGTTCACTGATACTGGATTGCTAAAATCGTTATTTTCTGCATTTGTATTAAGCAAGTTAGAGTACGGCTGTCTAATTTGGTATCCTTTGTATTTATGTCATCATGCTTTAATTGAACGAATTCATAAGAAATTTCTGAAGTTTCTCTCCTTCAAGTTGGATGGCATTTATCCCCAAAGGGGTACAGATATGGGTGGTCTTATACAACGTCATAAAATGTCGTCACTTTTAATGCGGCGGGATAAGTTATGCGCAAATTTTTTAGTTAAACTTGTTAATAACAAGATTGATTGCGCCGATTTACTTTTTTGTGTCAATTTTAACATACCGCGAATCTCATCTAGGCACGCAACTACTTTCCGAACCACAAGAGCTCGTACCAACGTCCTCCGCCGTGCTCCAGTTACAACAATGTGCCGTTGCGCCGACAACCTCTTTGAAGACGTTTTTATTTTGAAATAATGTAATTTTTACTCCTTTTTTGTATCCTCATCTAATTTTCTTTTCTTTTATTACCATTATTAATGTTTATTTAATTGCATAATTATAAATTAGTTAGTTAGTTTTTGTCCTCTAATTAGGTTCATTATGTTAACCTGTTGGACAAATAAATATTATTATTATTATTAAATATTATTATTATAAAAAAAAAAATAGGCGGTGTCACTCAATGATGACAAAATCTTCCCAACATTAAAGCCGTGTGTGCGTATTTTGTAAGCGAGACCTACATAAATCCCCCTATTCTATTAAAATGAGTTCTTCTGAATCTGAATCAGAAATTATAGAATCTGCCGAAAAGAGTAATAAGCAAGAACAATTTGTTTCATTGCTTAAAAAGTGGCCGATTTTATTAAGTAAGTCGCAAACTCCAGCGATAAGAGTACAAAAGAAGGAAGCTTTAAAAGAATTTTCAAATGCTTACCTAAATAATTGTGGGGAACAACTCACTCACGAAAAAATATTTAAAAAACTTATCAATATGAAGACGGAACTAAAGAAGAAATCAGATATGAATAGGACCGGAAATAAAAAAAACGTGCTTAAATCCTGGGAGGAGACCTTATTGAAATTAATAAATGACACTAATGTAAAAAATCCCACGGTTTATCGAATTCCAGGTATGTTAACGTTTTAATGACGTTATTACTTCGATGATGTGTGCAAAAATTTATAGCAATATTGTCATCAGGTGCTGCAGCTGCCGGAACTTCGAAAGAAGTGGAGGCAGTAGAATTGAATTCCGCCCATATAACTACTTTGCCATTGCCACCAAAAAGAAAGTGTACATCTACAGAACTAGCAGCAGAAACGGATGTTCGCTTAGCGAGTTGCAAAGGCTCGTGTTATTGGAACAGTTAAAATGAATAAAAATGCAACAAAAATAAATTGAAAATAAAAGAGAAAGGGAATCATTTTGTACGTCGTTAGAAGAGTTTTTTCTGTTGTTTCTGTTTTATTAAAATAAATATGTTAGTAAAAAAAAATGTTCTTTATCTTTGGGCATACAAAATTTGATCCAATTCATTTCTGCGTTGAATTCCTTGAATTGGATTGTGGTTTTCGTGTTCTACAATTTCATCATCTTCTTCAAGAGGAATATCAGGAAAGTCGTTTACATCATTTACAAATTTAGAAACGTTATGCAGAACAAAACAAGAAACTATCAATTTTGGTATTCTAGACAAACGAACCCTAATATCATTCATCAAAATTGGAAATCGTTTTTTCACTTGACCGAAACATCTTTCGATAATCACTCTGTTTCTTTTGTGCATGTTATTAAAGTGTATTTCAACCTGGTTTCTTGGGTTTCTGTAGGGAGTTATCAACCAAGGAGCAACGGCATAACCCGAGTCACCTAAGAGGATGGCTTGTCCTTGATATCTCGAAATAATGGGTAATACTGAAGAATTTCTCCAAATTCTACTATCATGCACAGAACCTGGCCACGTGGCATCAGCACTTGTAAATCATTCTCTGCTATTACATGTAGCTTGTACGTCTATTGAAGCAAACTGCTTCCTGCATATGTATTCATCTCCATGTTCTAAAGGTTTTTTAATTTTAATCTGAGTGCAATCTAGAGCGCCAATAACAAAAGGAAAATTAAATACTTCTTGCCATTGGTGTCTAGCTGCGTCGATTTCAGCCTGTTCTGCTGGAAATTGAATCCACTGATTTACCTTTCCGTAGATTTTTTCACTAACAAATTTTACGGTTCTGGAGACTGAACTTTGATGGGTACCACTGTCCTCACCAACACCAACTTGAAAACCAAGACCACCGACATACCTTAAAAATATTTGTATTTTTTGTTTTGGTGTCAAAGCACCTCCCCTTCGTTCATTGTTTTCGCCCAAAAACACGTCGGCTAGGTACTCTACGTTGTCTTCTTCAAATCGGTACATAGCTTTATAAGTAGAAGCACCAGCTTGCCTTCTAGCCTTATAAATTTTTCGTCGCCGAATGGGCAGCATGAATTGAGCCATTTTGAACTTTATTCACGTCAATCAATTCACGACTCATGATAATTTGATTTAATTCCTCTTAGAACAAATAAAACAGTAACTGTTAAAATAAGATCGATTTTGGCAAATGGCGGGGCTGGTACCTGCTAAAATAAGAGTGATTTTGGCAAATGTGATACCCTCTAAGAAAAGAGAGAGAGGGTGGGCGGTAGAAATACCCGCTAAAAAAAAATTGACTTTGGCAAATGAGATACCTTCTAAGAAAAGAGAGGCCGAGTAGGTGGGGCTAGTACCTGTTAAGATATCACTGCTTTTCACAAATGACGTATTCTCTAAGATATTTAATTAAATTATTATAAGAAAAGACACTAGGGGCTCCAAAGCATTTTCAAATTCTTTCGAAACAGGAATACCTAGGACTTCAAGATTGTTTTAAATTTTTGAAAAAAAAAACAGGCTCCCAAAATTTACTCAAAAACAGGTCAGGTCAGAATTTTCCAAAAATAGAACACCAAAGCCACCCAAAATTGTTTTCAAGCATCTCATACAGCAGCTTGAAAAAAAAATAAGTTTTAACTTGTGAAATCAAGTAGATACTATTTATTATGCATATTGATCTGAGTATTTTCTGGAAAATTTAGTAAATACTGGAAAAATTTTAACCTAGCTAGCATGTAGTATATACTTTTTAGTTTAAACTAATTTTTATGCATATAAACACTAGTACATACTTAAAATTTTCAGTATTAAGTATTTACTAATTTTTATGCATATCACTCATCATGTCTCATATTATTAAATCTCGCTGCAATTTGTTTAAATTTGGACCAACATGTTGTTTTCGATCAGAATTATTTCTGTTGGAACGTAGAACATTGTTAACAGCAGCCTCAGAATCGTATGTAATTGTAAAAGGGTGCACAGCATTTAGTTTAGATTGTCCAATACTTGTATTTTTTTTTTTGTATAGGAAACGAACCTAATGGAAACAGAATTGGTGTAACATGTTTCAAATCGTCATCAATCTTTTGAGCGACCTCCGACCCAGAAGATTCGTGAATATTAAATAACAACACATTATTACTACGTAATTTGCGTTCTTCGATTTTAAATATTCCATGTTCAAATCAGCTCTATCAACCCTACTAGCATTAGATTTTTTAAATTCCACCCATTCCTCCTGAATTGGGCGCATAGAATTTTCAACGGCATATCGTCTTTAATTAATACTCGTAAAAATAAAAGTCAATGGATTCCTTGATTTCATTTTGAACAATAGCTAGGTGAGATTTCATAATTGCCTCAACTTTTACGATAGTAATAATTGTATTATCATTAGTAGTATCACATTTAGGGCACCCCCATGAATATTTCTCGTTTATGATATTTGCAATCTCGGCATTGCTTAAGTTCAAACTTTTTAAATGCGATGTGTCGTCGGAGTAATAGCACCAGTAAAGTTTATACAAAATGAACATGGAGACAAATGGTTCTTCACACCAGGCAGTCCTTCGAGGTAACTAACAATTTGATATACAAGCATAAAATACAAAGAATTATCACAATTTCGACTTGATTCATTTTTGTACTGAACTCTCTGAAAAATAATTCACCACATAAAGACAATGTTCCCATAACATGGGTTAAGATTTTAATTGGTTAATTAGACATTGAATTGAAAAGTATAGATCTCCGACAATTACTTGGTAAGTGTAACTCAAAAATCATTATTTTTGGAATTGGCCCACTTTAGCTTATGTAAGTGTAAAATTTAGACGTGATTTATCACATTCATGATAATAATCAGAGCTCTCCGGCTTAATTTTATGGCACATACTTTTGTCATAGATTATTATTATGACAGACCCTTATCTCTACATTTTCTTGCTAGTGCAGTAAATAAACTGGATACATTTACACTGGAATCTAGGTTTGTACCCTTCCTAAAAGAATTTTTTGTTTTTCTTCCTTGTTAAATGTTAACAGACACCAAATCGATGGTTACTTTTGCTAATGTTTGTTAGTCCATTTTTCGTTGCTTTTATTCTTACCCCGTGTTGATATAAAAATTCTCATAAAAATACCAGTCGCGTAATTTTAAGTAAAACTTATAACTAAAGTATAAAATATCAGTTCGAAAACTTTCTCCTGAGCTCGGTTTTTAGAAGATTTTCTTGAAATCAAAATTTTATTTTCAAATGATTTTGAATACGAAGAATAACCATAGTATAGTAAACACTGTTGCTTCATTACATTATAATAATATGAATTAAATTTGAAAGTTTATTTGAACTTTAAAATTTAAATTGTAGAGTACTACATATTTCTTTCATCTCAATATACCTAGAGTTTAAAGAAAGTTCATTTATACAGGAATCTTTTTTGATTTCTCGGTGTGCGATAATACTACAACATTTATTCTCTAAAACACCGAAAACACAAAAAACTATCCACGTGTTTTGTCATTCACGTTGGTATTATAAAGAAAACTAAATTGAAAAGTCTAGTTCCAAAGTTGCTGCCGGTTTCTCATATTCTAAATAGCATCTTAGTAAATTTAAACTTTATTTTCCCAATAATCCAGTGAGAAGAAACCCATAAAAAATTTTGGGGAGATCAATTTCCTGTCTTCTCAAACAACATGTAATAAAATCTAGAGGTTGCTATATCTATAGCTATTGTGGTAAAAATTGTGTATGTATTACAATAAAATAAAAATACTTAGGATCTTAATATCCACTTATACTTTAATATGCTACGTATATGTTACGTTTTTAAAACGTGCAGTTATCTATTAAATAAAATATCCATGATGTCCCAATTTCGACTCGACTCGACTATTAAGCAAAAATGTGCAACATGAAGAAAGTTTTGTGTCATATTCGCTTATTTTTTGCCGACTTTGTTTTATTTTACACTATGTTTATTGCCCGAAATTATAAAAAATAACAATTTCACAATAACACCACACCTTTGCAGAAACAATTTATAAGACCGAAAATTAACGACGTGGTAATTTGTTTTTTTGTAATATAAATTATCTAAAAAACACTTTCGGTACGAGTAATTACGATAACAGATGAATCATTAACTACATGATATTAACACACTTTGAAAGAAGTCAATATATTTCAAATATTGTGAAAAATTCTACGTACGGTTACACAAGTAATAGAAATATTTATTGGGGATGGATCTTGTCACCTTCTTATCATTACGCCCAGTTTTCAGATAACGGATAAAAGTAGAATATATATTAACTTAGGACAACAGATATTTCACTAATCTTTATATCATCAATCACAACGAATCATAATTAATTGTAAGTAACGTAAGCCTGGTTATATATGTAGATAAATGTTTTTTATTAGTTTCCTCTCTGCACAGTATTTGCATGTAACACCCAATAATTTTAAAGTTTTAGGCTGCAATGAAAATATTTCTGAAGACGCTATTCCCCATTTTGTTTTTACGTGGTGTTTCCAGCAGCGAAATAATTAAATTCGAAAATGAAAACCATATTTTGTGTGTCACAGATGACACACAATCACTGGTCTATGTAAAACCACCATTAGTAACGAAAACGAGAAATACATCAATTTTAATTGAAAACGACGTAATATGGGATGACTGGTCTTTAAAATCGTCGACAGAAGTCGTAGTACCAGCTGTTAAGGATAAAAGATGGGAAGGTAGGTAATGTCATCCTACATCAGTTTTTGTGTGTCTAATTTTATCTACAATAATAAATTGTTTATTTTACAGATCTACAAACGAGCTACACTGATTCTTTCCATTACGAATCAGTGTCATCCATATCATACTCAGTACCTGGTGGGACTAAACTCACCGCAGTCGTTAGTGATCCTCCATCAGCTTTACCAAAAAGAACAAGGGATATTTCCATCGACTGGATTCACTACACCACCATGCCTAAAGTGAATGAAAATGCAACTGAATTTGCGCAATTTCAAATTAATGTTACTTCTTCGGAGAAAACTTACTTTAAAATACATGATTGCAAGTACTAAAAGGCATATTTCGGATACCTTAATAATTTTTTTTTCCTTTTCAGATAAACTGAGATGGGCCGACACTGTTTCAGAAACACCGACACGTATATTGATCTCTCAAAAAGAAACGTCTTGTTTTATGATCTACGGTTATGTTTGTTATTATTGTACGTTACAAGTTAATATAACAGGCCAACGTGTACAGTCCTTCTCTGGAAAAAGTCAAAAATCCCTCCAAAGTCGATGGCAACATCTTAAATATGAACCGAAAACTGATGTTGAGATAAAGTTCTGGAGGGAAACCACAAATGGAGATGTTACAGGACAGTGGGCAGTGGATATTAGACAGTGTCCACCTACGATAAACAGCAAAAGTAAGTTTTTTAGTGTATTTAAGATTTTAATTAAGATGGTATTTCAGTACATTTTTTCAAAATATGCAAACATTGTGAAACAAATCTAAATTGCGAAATAGAGATGAAAAATGCGTTTTCATTAAATCAGCTCTTTAATTTATTATATAAAAAAAAATTAAGCTAGTTGCACAGAATTTATCTTTACCTTTTTAAAAATTGTAGCAATTTATGAGGTATCTTTGGAAGACGATGTGCAACAAGGGGAAGAACGTCGGTGCGTTTCTGCTAGAACAATAACGAAGCAAAACAATATTAGACAATTTCCAAGTGTCAAAATAAAGGACGATGCATTTAGTTGCAATCCTGGAACCGTAGGAAGGAACTGTGATATTAACTGCACAAATTTCTTGGGATCAGATAAAAGTTATTGTGAGCAACATCAAATCTGTGATGATACTTACTCAGTTTCTGAATGTTTTTGTTCTTGGGGTTACGAAGGAGGAACATGTAATAAAAGTAAGTAACCCAACAGAAAAGCCTTCTTCAACTTTCATAGTTTAACGAGAAGGAAGATACTTTTCTGTAGTTTTTAGTTTAACTAAACAATTACTTATTTTTAGCGTGCTCGAAAGGAAAATGGGGTTTATCTTGCCGCGATACATGTAAAAATTGTGATGTGTGTAAGGCGATAACTGGACAGTGCACTAATGCCTCACTAAGCAATTTTAGGACAGGTATGTTTCAAATATTGCTAATTATAGTAAGTACATTTTTGTTTTTTAGCCGCCGGTCTACTTCTTTTGGGAATGATATTTAAATTTTTGTAACAGTATGTCAAACTTGTATTTGTAAAACTAAATATGCATCCATGTGTTTTAGTAATATAACTCTGAATAAACTAATCAAATATTTGTGGTAATTTAGTGTTTCATATTATAAATAAGTAATAAAGACTGCGACTTTTTCTTCATCAAAAGAAAATTACTTCTTTGTATAAATATCCAAATATAAGTGAGTAATCAGATGAGTTTTCTTTTCTAGAACTGTGATTATGGTCCTCAAATGGAAATTTAGAAAATATGTAGTGAAATTTGGTTGAATTTTGGTTGTATTAGTCATCCTATGCTGTTGACGCACAAGCAAGTAAACAGGGATTCCATTATAATAACATTAACTGCAGTTTCGCAGTCATCGAATGATATTTTGACTACAAATCAAAAAGCCGCGGAGACAAGTTTAAGCAAAGTTTTAAAATACGAGTAAATATCCTGAAAATGTATTTATTTTTATTTTAATGAATTAATCAGGAACTGTAAAACGGATTGTTTTGAAATCTTGCAAACGTTGTAAGGTTATCGTAATCATGGTAAATAGTTAATCAAACTGTATTCATTTATCCCTTTCCAAAAAATTTATGACTTCATATCAAACTTTTGTCGAAAACATTCTCTCTGAATTATACAAAATACTGTTATCGGTGATTAAAATCGACGTGGGTAAACTCAACGATTTATTTCTTAGTAACTCAAATTTACTAAGCGATTATGTACATAATCATTCTTGCGCAACTTGACTGAATTCATTCACTGTACTGGACTCGATGACTGAATAATGAATCCGTTCTCGAAGGTAGCCTTTATTTAAAGCCACACACTCCTCTGGATGGATAGCGAACACCGCTTCGAGGTTTTTCTGGACGTTACAATCGAGATTTTCGGTAACCCACTCCAGGCTTGTCTTTATGCGAACGCCGCCCGCCCGTCGTCACAAAAGAGGAGTCACCCATCATCGCTGCACATACTGGGAAAGCCTCGACAAACCCATAGGCGTCGTACCAGGGCTGCGTATGGATTTATTTGGTAATAATACTATCACTCTCAGCATGTGATTTATCATTGTAACGATAAGTGTTTCCATAAAAACGCGTCTATTTCCATTATCTGAAGAGATATCATGAAAATAAGACACATTCCATTTTTTTCTACACACGGATGGCAAGCTAAATACGCTAAGTACTCGTCGGATCATCGCTGTCACGCGACCACCCACCAAGGCCAAATTGTTGCTGGAGACGACTATTCAAAACTTAGTTAGGGTTTTGCCATATACACGATACTCCTACTACACATTTAAAATTTGACAATAATCAGTCCAGTCGGACATTAATTGTCTAATAAAAATTGGGACAGATGGCAGACAGACAGACAGACAGACAAACACAGAGACGGAAATGGAATTCATCATTTTCATTTGATTCTGCTACCTTTTACTTGCAAAATTTCATATTTTTTCGACTGTATTGGACACTAGTATGCAAACATAAAACAAAAATTCAAAGCAACTTTTTTTCTGGTAACTTAACTTATTGTGAAGAGTTTATCAATAGCGAATGGTGGTAAAATATTGAAATGTAGTTTAGAAAACACAGTTTTTGAAACTGAATATTTTCGTACTAAAATGCTACTTGCAACAAAATTTGCCCTAAGTTTCTCCTAAAAGTAAAGAACAAATATTTCATTGTAATATCACATAATATTAAATACATAAAACTTTTTAAAGAATTGTTTTTAGGTTAAGACTATATGTTCTTGATCAAAATAACTTTGCTGTGAATTGTCTTTATCCACTTTGATGCATTGTAAGGGATTCGTTTATTTTGTTAATAAATAAAGCATTGAATAAGACATTTTAACCACCTGAAAAACCGTAGTAAAATATTTATAAAATCTTCTTCGAAACCTCACCGAAACTAGTAGTGGAAAACAAAGAATGTTAAAGGGTCCAGCAGTGAGATACACACTTTTTTGAGACATTGTTAATACAAACACAAGTTCGCGTTGTAGCCTAATATCCACTTCGTACCATTTTGAAGACCATATGGCTGAAGCAATGGACTCACTCTACAAAATAGGTGATAACACAATATTTATAAGAACTTTTAACTTACAGCATTAATTATTTGTTGACCAGAAAAGCAATCGAATGACAATGTAAAAATCCAACCCGAAAAGTGTATTATCGCACATAGATGATCACCCTAAAATTTTTAGATTATTTTTACTAAGTTTAGATGTATTACTTTATTTTTACCTACTTCAGTAAACTGTTTTCCTCTGCAAGCGCAAATTATTGCCGTAATGGTAATATGAGTTAACATTCCATTCGAAAAGCATTCATCCAAAATTTTAGCTAAACTAAAAAAAATGTCGTAATGAACAACTAAACCAGGTGGTAAACTAATTTCGATACATAGGACTTTTATATGTGAATAAAACAGTTCATTTTCATTTTCCATTCATTTTGTCGTTTTGCAAATTGGCGAAAAACTGAAACTTGAGAAAATACAATGTAAAACGATATAACATTTTTGTAATATGAATTTACAGTTGTTCTTTCAAATAAATACAAATAATATTTACCATAACTATAATAAAAATGAACCGAAAGTCAATGTCGATTTTATTTTCGCGCATTTATGAACTAAATGAGGAACTAAATATTTAAAAAATGTCCTTTAGTTCACTACAACCTTTTCCTTTGGTCTGGTGTAAACCACTTGTTCTTTCAGATTCACTTGACAAGTCACTATATTTCAAAATCAGTTCACCACCTGATATACCTAATTCGTTAAGTCTCACTTAATTATATGTATATGATACACAATTCAATTCTAGGGGTAATGAAAGGTCGAGAAAACGTAAAAGTAGAGGTCGGCCGATGGTCTCGATTACAATACTTCCTTTGCTGACGCTCGGGAAGTAACACATGACAAAGATGTCAATGCGAAATAATGACAAAATTGAAAAAATTAATACTCATTTTATTTTAAAATACCCCGCTACAAAAATGTAATACGAAAAAAATTGGTCTAAAGAGTTTAGACAGTACTTCCCTCGCTGTCGGAAACTTGACGACTGCATGCCTATTGTGTTTTTTTTCTCATTACATTTTTGTAGTGGGAATTTAAAAAAAAATTGCGATGACGTCATCAACATTTTTGCAAGGACACGTATATCAGTTGGGATAGATGTAGTGTAATACTAAGAATAAAATTATTATATTCTCAAATTTTCGGGAAAATGAATTGGGTCGTTTGAATATTGATTTGTAATAATCAATAAAATAACGAAACAATTTACTCACGTATACCTACGTATCAGAGGCAACTGAAAATCGTGTATGTATAAACATTGTTAATTTAAGATGACAGGCGTAACAGCATACGTGAGAGCCAAACACAGAAACTGTAAACAAAACGACCGTCGGTTTTATTGCTTCGACTTCCGCTTATTATATAAAACATTGGGTTTTATTTTAATTCTTGACGGTGAAATTCACAATTGGTTGATTATAAACATGTCTATTTCACATTCGCGGAATCAAGTGAACGCATAAAACAAATGCAGGTCTGTAATGTTAAAGTCGATGTAAATAAGCGTGCTACCCTTATGTTTCAACCGAGTTTTTCCTTTAACAAATTTTGTGTCTACCAAATTGGGTTGGTTGGGGTGTAATACTAATAATAAGTGTTGCCTTTAATTTAATCAATAAAATAAATTGACTTCATTAATTTTTTTGAACCACCTCTTAAGAAAATCTAAAAAATATGAATGGAATGATAAATCACAAGTACAAACTCATCATATTTTTTGCATTTTAGATAGGATTTATTCAGCAAAATTTAAGGGTGACGTCATCAATTTTTTTAGGAGGGATGAACAAATACATTTTGAACAAAAGTTTACCATGCTTATAATAACTTTAAAATATTCCCAAGATTTCAAAGCATTCGGTTTTGTAATTCCTGATTAAATCGATAAAATAAATTCACGCCTTCATTAATTTTTTTGAGTCACCCTGCATATGCAAATCCAAAAATATGAATGGAATGATAAATCACAAGTACAGACTCATCATATTTTGTACATTTTAGATACGATTTATTCGGAAAACTTTTGAGCTGACGTCATCAGTTTTTTGTAGAAGATAACCAAATATATTTTGACTAAAAATTTATTATGCTCTTTATAACCTTAAAACATCTGCAAGATTTCAAAGCATTCGGTTTTGTAGTTCCTGATTAAATCAATAAAATAAATTTACGCATTCATTAATTTTTTTGAGTCACTCTGTATATGCAAATCCAAAAAATATGAATGGAGTGATAAATGACAAGTACAGGCTCATCATATTTTGTACATTTTAGATATGATTTATTCGGCAAACTTTCGAGCTGACGTCATCAAGTTTTTGGAGGGGATAAGCAAATATATTTTGACTAAACATTTATTATGCTCTTTATGACCTTAAAACATCTGCAAGATTTCAGAGCATTCGGTTTTGTAGTTCCTGATTAAATCAATAAAATATATTTACGCATTCATTAATTTTTTTGAGTCACCCTGTATATGCAAATCCAAAAAATATTAATGGAGTGATAGTTCACAAGTACAGACTCATCATATTTTGTACATTTTAGATATGATTTATTCCACAAACTTTTGAGCTGACGTCATCAAGTTTTTGGAGGGGATAAGCAAATATTTTTTGACTAAAGATTTATGATGCTCTTTATAGCCTTAAAACATCTGCAACATTTCAAAGCATTCTGGTTAGCAGATTAAAAATTAAATTTCAAAATGTTGTTTTATAATTTTGATTTTTTTTCCAAAAATCTGGACGTTTCGGGTGAAAAGTCGATTCAGAGTTGTAAACTACATGTGTAGGACTATGTTATTTTATACAATTGAAAACCCAATACAATTTTGAAGTGACGTCATCGCTTTAGTGGTGGGGATGATTCAACAAATTTTGGTTAGCGTTTTACCATCTACATGATATTCTTAATATAAGTACAAAATTTCACAACAATCGGTCGAGTACTTTCGGAGATTATCTGTCTAATAAAAATCCGTGACA